TCTCCATGTTCTATCAATCACTAATACTCATGTTATATACACAAATATTTAAGTAAAAATTCTGCATTTTACACAAAAGTATTGTACAATTCAAAAAACGATTAATTCTTTATAGATATATTTTCTTATAATATTTTGTATTAGTAATATATTTTTATCATTAAAATGCAATTGGAATTAAAATATTCTCTTATATCCACCATCTATCATATTTGAACTAAAATATACATATTATTTTTTTATTAAAATTTAATTGTAATATAAGAATAAAGAAATTCTATTTTATTTGTTTCATAAAATGATATGAAAATTTATTCTTTCAGCCTTTTATTTCGCGACATAGAGTCGATAATTTTTTATTGTGGCTTCATTTCCAAAAGAAGAGTTATATTATGGTGATTTGAAAGAAATAATCACAGAAACAGCGGCATTCGTATCGTTCGTTTTTCGAATCTCGTAGCGAACAATCTTGCGTAATTATACAAGACGGTGTGACATTTTCTCACGGGACAAGCGCGACATACGAGCCACAAAATGATGATCTCCACTAAATGAACCGCCGATGACGCTGACTGTCATGCGACGCGCGCACGACCGACCTGGTTGAACTCGCTCGCTAACAAGCCCCATTGCCACTTTATTATCGCGGCCGGATCGCCCAGGAATAGCCACAAATCACGTGGAACTGGTTATCCGGTGCGTCATACGCGTTTCTACGTTCGTATATCTCCATGGCATTACCCTGATGTACTTAGACTGGTTCACTTACATGAAATACGATGTGAAGTGTTCACGTGACAAGCTTAAACAGCAGATAGATCTCTCTTCCCGAAATTTACCCACGAGCCGCGATTACTATTCACGGCCGCTTTGATTGCATAATTAGAGCGTGTCACCGAGAGACAGTTGTCGCTCCAGTTTAGAAAACGTTACGAAAATTTCGGAGCTTGTCTGAACTAATCGTGGAAAGGCTTGAGAAATTTTAGCATCCTATTACCTAGCGAAATCCTAAATAACGAATTCGTATTAAGATATAAATGAATTTTAAATACTTACTTATATAAATACAAAAATAGAGATATCATTTATCACAATAAAAATGAATTTTATGAATTATTCTTATTTATACGTTAAAGTGTTAAAAATGTATTATCAAAAATTTCTATATTTTAAAAATTATAAAAAATGCATATATAAATTACGGTTTCAAAAGCATTAAATCACTAATGAATTATTCTACACAACATTTGTGTATCAGTCATCAAAGTCTATATACTCGGGCATATTTAAACATTATTATCTACAATCTCAATAATTATTTTGCGGATAAGTATTTTGCGTGAAAAGTAAACTAAATTAAACTAAATTAATCAAAATAAAAAGTACTAGCGATGCTCTTCATAAGCATAGATTTATCAATTTAAAGTCAGCTGTTTCTCGCAATCTCATTCGGCATCGATTTTCCAATATATATGAGCTCATATTAACTCTCTCGGTCGATGGCTTTTAAAACAGGAGAATCAATGGCCACGGCCATTCCTAAATCATGCCTTATGACGGGAACAGATGTACACTAGCCCGTCCCGCGAATACTCGCAATAAGGCGCTGTACAAGCCGCGGTGTATCTGACTCGACTGCTCCAGTAGCCTCCCTCATCCCCTCGTTCAGCTCCGTACCCGCTTCGAATCTGCGACAGCACCGACGTCGTATAGCACCGTGGCAGCTTTAGGCTCTTCTTAGCGCATCGCACCGATACTGTGCCTGTATCGTTTGCGAGCAACCCCCGAGAGAAGAATACCTACTCGCGGCGCACGTATGTACGTAAAGACGATGGTATATCTGTATCAATTGTATGCATATGCGGGGCCTTCCACCTTCGCCGACTCCTCTTCCGACTTTCCTCTTCGCTCTCCTCTCTCCCCCCTTTTATAGATACGACATACCTACGTATATTTGTCGCGCTTAACCATTATATGGTTTATCGTTATTGTTCGTCAACAACAGGGGCACCTAAGGTTCTCCTCGGAACACGACGAAGAATAGCGCAAAGGAAAAGAAAGACAGAGAGAGAGGCAAAGAAGGAAGAAAGAAAGATACGAGTAAAACTGACATACCTTACGCGATCTTCATTTGAATACGATTATGGATAACGCGATACGAGAACCGCGTCGCGGTATCAAATTTGATATTCAAATGGACAATCTGTCTATGGTTCAGACTCGATTCTTTCCAATCGAGATCGATCGAAGAGATTAGAAATATTCGCGATTACAGGCAAGAGTTTCTTGCTATATAACATTAATTATCTCCCTTCCACCTTAAATATTCAACGAAAACACAAATTATATTCCTATTCGTCTTCGAGAAATACATCTCGTAAAAGTCACGCGAGAAGCGATTCAGCGCGAGCTATTACTTTTCGCATCTTTTACGAGTAACTTTCATCAACGAGATTTGTTTCCTCGCGGTAAACGATGATTCGCATGGTATTTCGTTGCAGTGTACATAAACGCAGTCGTATTAAACCGTTATGCGTCGCGGAAACTTTGTTTATTTAGTGGTTATTTATTTGACAGAAACATCGCGAAGACGTGGTGAATCTACACGCGTATCCTATATACGGAAACTTGCATTACAAACGCGGATACGTCGCAGCGTCGACTCGTGGAAGAAGTAAAGGACTAAATTTAGCATTGGCGAATATCCCGCCGTCGCAAACGGTCTCCCGAGTCGATCCGGGCAAACGCTAATGTTTTGAGCACGATCATACGCTGAATGGCGAGCCCACATAATGCAATTATATGCGCTGTCTACCGTCTCGGCAAACTGCAAGACAAATTAGTACGAAATTTCATCAGAAGACAGGCTAACAGTTAGAGTACAAGGCGCGGTTTTACCGATCACGTGTCTCTTCGAGAGAAGTCAACAACACAACCTATTATTTACTAGCCGTACATTCAGAAAGAAACACTTGTAAATCAATTATCTTTCATATTGTGAAATCAAATTCTATTCTTCTTTCATGATTCTAATATTGTAGCGCGAAATATTGAAGAAATGTAAAGCACTTTAAACAATTAATCTTACGATAACGTGTTTCCTTGAAAAATGTCAACTTTGTGATTCTCAAAATTAGAAACGGTATGAATATTTTAAAATATTTGCATATATACGGCGTTATTTTTGCCGAAAATTTTCTACAAATTTTTCATCAAGAATCAAGAAGTATATATATTCGCGATATATCTGTCGACCCATAATCTGACCGAAGATGAGATGCATTCCGCGCGCGAGCTGCATTTGGCAGCGAGATACGCAATCTGTGACATTTCTATACCAAATATATCGCACAAAGCGACGCCGCCTCGCACTGTCATATTAAATATTATTTATGTCCCCTCGCGCACAAAGAAAGAGAGAGAGGGAGAGAGACCGGTTGAATCTGAGTTTGTGCGTGTGTGCGTGCATAAAGAACGCACGTTCGAATCGCGTAACCGCGTGCCGTACAAAGCGACACGAGTACGGTCGCGGAGGTCTCGAATCGGAAAACAATATCGATCCATTGTTCCGACCGGCCAATAAATATCATAAATATCGGCCGGCTGAATTATCGGGCCGATCTTGCACGCTGCAACATCGTACGAGTCGATTCCGTAGTCGGATTAGGCTCTTTTCTGTGCACTGACGCACTTGAGTATGTACAACTACGGTACGTAGAATAAGATTTGCACCTCGTTGGATCCTTTGTGCACATGAACAAAGAAGTGCATATTGCATAATGCCGTAAGGGAAATTCCAGCAATAATTCTACAACCTGATAATATACTATTTTTTTCATTTATTAGAGCTGCACAAGATATTAATTTTGATATTGTCTTGTCTCGAAATTTGAGATAAGATCGAAACAAGATTTTTAATTAGTTGTCAAAACAATACCAAGATTAAGATTGTCAAGAAAATAAAATTATTGATCTTATCAAAATTTTCTATTTTTAACATGAGTAAATTTAAAATGTTATAAATTAGGTGAGAAAAAAATCATTATATGAATTTAAAGAATGTTATCTAATAAATGCAAACATTTTTCTATTAACGAATTTAGAAGCAATTAATATACAATATAATAAACAATATGAAATTGTATATAATTATTTAGTTTTATGTACAGTGCACGGTTCTGACATTCTAACATTACTGCCTTTTTATGAAGAAATACAATAAATACATATATATATATATATATATATATATATATATATATATATTGTATTTTGCAAAATAAATGAATGATGACAAATATGATAAATAGTAATAATTATTTCAAATTATATTATGTCAAATTAAAGATTATGTTAAATACTATTTTAAATAACTATTCAGTCTTAGTTAATAATTATTAATAAAATTGAATAATAATTATTAATAAAATTGAAACAAGACAATACAAGAGGAAATTTTTGTTAGAAAAATCCATTCAAGACAAGATTGAAATTTTCGAAAATTTCCCATACTAATATAATACTGTATTTTTACGAATATTATTTTATTCTGGAGCAACTCTAACTCGTATCTTATGCAACTCCAATTTTTATCCTATTTTTATTCAATTCACATAAAGACTATCTTTTGACTCTTGCTACTCTTAAAATTCTTTAAAAAAATTTAAAATAATTATATTATTATTTTTGTCTATAAATTATGTATTATATGTCAAAGCTTCTTTCTTTCATGTCGCTGTTAATTGGATTGTTGTGTATTATTCAGCATAAATTTATAATAACAAAGACGTCGATCTCTCTTTATTGTACTCGTGTGTACGTATCCAATTTATTTGAAACTCAAGCAAGAGTTTCGGATTTAGACAGATACTGCCTTTGCACGATAAAAGAAACTTCCTCAACCGTATATAAAAATGCGCGTATTGTGCACTGTCACAGAGAGGTAACATTATATCACATTTGTCGTCGTGTACCGAACTGAGACATGTATTTCTACTCACGTTTCAGCATCCCTTTGTACGTCCCCCCGTTATGGATCTGACATCACGACGAAACGATTGAATCTAGAAGAAAAATACAACTGTGTTACTTTTATTAGACTCGATGTTTTTCGTAAAAGCGCAAAAGCAAACAACCATATATAAATGCATTATTGTTTCTTGCAAATTGCAATTTATTATAGTTTTATATGTCAATCTATAAACAATAAATGCTTTATAAATACGTTAAATATTTCAGATTGTTTAGCAATCGTGTGTTTAAAGCCGTTATATTCTGCTCCCGCGAATAATTCTGTTAAATTCTACAATAATACCGCATCTAGACATTTCTACAAAGCAGAAAAGCAATTTGCATAATCTTCAAATAAAATTCAGAATTTAAAGCGTTGCATCAAAGAGATGTTATGACACAGGCTCTGCCATCTCTTAGCGGTCGCTGGAAACTGCGTTCGTCTACCAGTGATCCTCAATTTAAGGATGCTGTACCTCTGAAGAGATCGCAGAATACGAATACAACATACGAATGCGCCTGCGACACTCTTGGCTCTTTTTGTTAAATAAAGGAGACGATCGATCTTGGTCAACCCGACCTATTGCACGTCGTAATTTAAAAAAGTGTGAAATAATTTTTGAAATTTCGCAACAATATGTACAAAGATAAAACTAGACACGATTGAGAACCAACATTAAAAAGAACGATTTTCGATGTAGCAAGGAAATCCCCGGGCGGCAATACGGTCGCAGTCTTTCCACCTTATCGATATTAGCATAGAAGAGCAGTTTGCAAAATCGTTACGCGTCGCGAAAGTGTACGTCTGGGCCTACTAAAGGCTATCTCGTCGAATAAAACGATCTTTAAATAACATATTACGCCGATACGTTCGCCGGACAAGCTCGACAGAGAAATAACTTTAATGATTTCAATCGAGCAGTCTGGATAATAATATATTGTCGTCGGTTAAGCTACAACGTTGTATGAAATAATTGTTGACGATGTGAGAATAATATCTAGCAATCATAAATTTATATGTCTAATATTTAGAAATAATATTAAAAAACAACGTAGAGGAGATTGAGAGAATTTTATGCGAATCATAAATAATTACAAGTAATCATGCATAGATACAGATAATTATAATTATAAATCCCTTTCAGTTTATATTTTGTATTTGTTGATTAGCGGTTTTTAAAATATATGAGTAAATCTTGTGTACGCATAGCCATTTCTAAAATAATATCTGTTAATCCCGTACTTTTTGCATACGTCATTAACACACATCGAGATACAACAGATACCACGTTAAGCCGTAAAGGGTTAACACGGCGCGATTACGCGAAGAATGTCGCGCGATGCACGCACTTTGCGCGAATGCGTGAATTCAGACACGGTATAATCTCCCATCGAGTGGGCGAATACAGGCACTGTGGCGAAGGGGTGCTACAACACTCGGGCGATGGGTGGTAAGTGCGCGGAGGCGGGGGAGTAGAGTGAAAGAGGATTGCCGATCCATCCATGAGAGATGACGCCAGTCCCTGAATGCGGGATAAAACCTCGCTGATGCCCAGCAGAGCGATCCGCGGCATGGAAGCGAGAGGGTGGGAGCCGAGGGGAGAAAAAGGAAAAGAAAAAGAAAAATAATGCGGACAAGGAAGAGAGAGAAAGTAGCGGAAAAGAGAGGCCGGGAGAGACAGAGAAAGAGGAAGAGAGAGGGAGAAATGCTACTGAATGCCGCGGAAAGTAAAACTCAAGGCAGCGAATCCGAAAGAATGTTGAAGACTCTCCTAAATCCATATAAATTGTCGTATTGTTGGAAGATCGTGTAGCATACCAATTCGAGATGATACAAGATATCTCGAAAAAAGAGCACCGTCGACAGTGCATGTAACTGCTGATTATAGATTTCTAGTTAATTGTCAATCGCAAAGCTAAATATTGAATAAAAATATTCAGATTTGTAAAAAATAAAATTCTTGTTTTTATAATATAACATAATATTCTTCTAATTATATATAAGTAATAAAATAATTCGTATAAATGAAAGAGAGAGAGAATGCGTCTCGTACAGCATCCTTCTGTTTTCAATTTACATAAAAGACACACAGTCTTGATTCGTGACCATGATTGATATGCAGGATGACCGTAGGATCCCGATGCATCCACAAATTTTTGGAATCGGCATTGATACAATTCGTCACTCCTAGGGTGGATTAAGGGGATCGCCGTAAATAACGAAACGTCAGTCGATGTATTACCGGGAGGACTTCGGATCGCATTATTATTCCGCCCGCGTTTCCACGACGCGCGATTTGCTTCTGTACACGTGGCTTCGCGATGCGACTTCCGATCGAAAGACTCATCCGCGATCCACGCCAAACATTTCTCTCAAGGTAAGGTGCGAGAATGTTTTCGCACACGTTTCTAACCGGATGATATACGTTAAAGCGAATTCTGACTCGCAAAACAATCCAAGAAGATTATCAACGTGTATCATCCGCTGACGTCAGGATTTTTTCTTCGTTTCGTCTACCTCACCTATCGAAGAGCGATATGCTGTCAACTAGATCTTTGAAGTCGACTGAAACACGATTCTTGCAAAGCAGTGGTGTTCAACCTGCGCGATATATGTATATATATATAATTCGCGACAAGCTTTTTAATTATCTTGATATATCTAATAAATGTTAGATTAGAATGCAAATATTAATTAAATATTTATATTTGTGTTCCTTTCCATGTTTGTTACGATATTAAAAATTTTCATTCTCATTTCTGCTGAATAAAATTAACTGTAATCATATAAACTTGCTCCATGCAATTAGTATGATAATAAGTATTACGAATAAACAAGTCTGTAGAAGAAACTTAACAAAGTCATTTAGAAAATAATTGACATATTCAATTTTTTTTCGTACGAAAAAAAAGCTCCAGCTTGAGGTTCATTATACTTTTTACATTTCGAATGCTAAATTGAGAAGACGATTGGACGTCCAAAAAAAATCATAGATCGGCATCATGCAAGATTAGAAGTGGACCGGCGCACATAGTCACCCATATGATCGCCGTTGGAGCAGACGGCTAAGGGATTTCAGTCAAAATACAACTCCTTGGTGCCGTCGGTAGCCGATAAATTATTATCTCTCGAAGATTAGCCGTGATGTCGCGACCCTCATAAATATCAGTATATTTTTGCCCGGTAAGCCGATTTTCTTTCTGCCGATGGCTTCGAAACGTAGCGACTGCTGCCAAACCGCGCGAAATCCTTTCTTACCCCTCCCCCCCTGCCGGTGCTGCTTCGCGATCCTCGGCGATCGTCTCCCAGACTCTTTATAGACCGGGAGATTAAAGGTGTTTCTCGTATTCCTTTTTAATTTCGCGCTTCTCGGCACCGACGCGACCGGCATCGGTTATTTTCAGTGGTAAAGTCCGTGTCAGCGAACGCCGAATAAAAGATCGAGATAATCGCGCGCGAGAAGATTCGCCTTCTTTTGATGTCCGCGTATATAAGTATCGAGAAGCGCCGGTATAAGAGAGTAGGATGAGTCGTACGATGATAACACCTTTCCTCGTACCTTCTCATATACAGGGTGTTCACTTTCGTAACATTTAAATTTCTTATGAATATTCTTCGATTAAATTGTCAATCTCGAGGATTTATACTTCTTCTTTGTATAATTCTAAAGAATTAGAAATTTTCGAAATTAAAAAACGCGAGTCTATATGTTCGTTGATTCGTAATTTCTTTTTCTCAAGCAAGATGGATATTCGATTCTTCAAAATATAATACAGAATTCAACGAAAACTCGAATTCAGCTAGAAGACAGAGTAACATTCTTTTTGCGAGTCATCCCCTGACAAGCATTCGGAGCAACTTGGGGAATATCTTGGCAATATTCGAGGACACAAACGGTTCGCCATTTTCTTCCAGAACGCACGATATACGTTCTTCTAAAACCTCTTCCGCCATATATGAGCCGGGTCTTACTGCCACGATATATTTTGCAAATCTTTCGCTATTTATCACCAGCGGCATTCGTGAAACCCTTGTGCGCGTAATGCTTTCCCCTTCGTTCGTCAACCGTTTTCATATTTTCGTGCCGTGCTATTTTCTGAAAGCGACATTGCCAGAGATTTCCATAATTCTGAGAAACTGTCGTTCGCACTGTGCGATCGCGCAAAATCTAAAACGTCATTTTAATGTATCTTTTTCCATAATGCAGCGAATTTTTACAACTTGCAATTTGACCAGGGATCTAATGCATTTGCATTGCACATATTACAAGTCATAAATAATGAATACGAATAAAAGAAATAAATGTACAAAATTTTTCATCTCCTTAGATATATTACATACTTAACATGGCTGTCACATAATTGATAGGTAATACGAATTTTGATAAAGATGTTCATCGATTGATTAAAATATATATCATTTAATCAACTAAAATTATGTCTATTTGAACCTATATCAAGATTAATTACAAAAAATACCCAATATTCAAGATTAATCTAAAAATCCAGCGGCATTCATATCAATGTGACAGCATCATTTTCTACTTTCAAATATCCTAAAGAGATCTCTCTCGCTCTCGGTTTCGAAGCCGCGTCGCTTTCCTTTCCATTTCACCCGAGTACAAACACCCACGCCGCGTCCCTTTATCACGAGCCTCGCTGTACCTCGAAGGATCGCGTGTCGTGGAAGATAGCGGGGCCGTTTGTAAAATGTAAAATTCGTAATACATCGCCGCAAAAGTGGAATAAGCCGAGACATACGGGGTGGTACCATCGGCGGCGCAGCACCGGCGGCAGCAACAGAAATAGTGGGGTGGACAGAGGATGGTGCGGCGGGGGTGGGTGGAGGGTAGGACAGGAGGGGGTACGGAGACCCGGTTATGTGTCTCATTTATCAGCACAGATATTATTATGGCTCTACGCGGCCGGAGCTAGGAATTTTACATACGTACGGACATTTGTACCTTCGCGATATAATATAAGGACGTAATAATGCGCACGCATACGAACGAGCCGCCCCACACGAGCTGCCACCCTCATCGCGCGGACGTTC